AGAGTGGAGGCTCCTCGAGGCTCGCGAGGCTCTCTTTGGGATGCGGGCCATGCAATTATTTGCGCGACTCCCTCCTCCATCCACGGCTAGCTCCAGTACGGCCTTCACCTCTCTCTCTCTCTCTCTCTCTCTCTCTCTCTCTCTCTCTATTTCTGTCTCTCTTTTTGGACAGTGTTGTGAAGCGACAATTGCCGCAATGTGACGACAGATGTGTGGCGGCGGCGGCGGTTGCTGCCTGCCTTGGCGGCTAAGGAATTTGCGCAATTTGCAGCAGAAAGAGCAACAGCCAAAGCCGGAGCAACCTCCACAACCTCCTCCGCCTCAAGCATCAACGGAACGGGAGAGTGACTTATGCGCATGCCACAACCAACCGCCAAGCAACCAATGGCAGATCGAAGCAAAGGATACCCTCTAGCAAAAACGATCTTCCTAATGCAAGATACATAAATATATAAGTACTTAAACAAATGATCCGATTTATGGCTTCATTAAATTACAGATTTGTTTTGGATTTCTTAAGGGAAAACAAAGTTTTACCCATAATCTTAATCGATCCTTATCAGTGCTTGTCAGTCACGTACGACTCTGAACGACTCTACGGATCGGAAATACTTTCTTTCCTTAGTCCAAATGCCCTTTCTCCAGCAAAGGGTACAACAAACGACGAGTTTTGTGTGGCAGACACAAAAATTGTTGCCTCCAAAGTAAACAAACTTTTCTTTCCATCGCTCCTCGTACACCGTACACCTTGCACCTCTCTTCATCTCTCTCTCTCTCTCTATCTCTTTCCCTGTGTTTGCCCGGCCTAAAGCCGGTTGTGTATGTTTTGTTATTAGTTGGCCCCCAGACAATGTTGACCATATGTGCCGTGAAGCGAGAGGGAGGGAGGTAGGAGAGGTAGGGAGATTGTAAAGGCGAGGGATTGGTATGCGTGCGTTTGTTGGCCTTTTGACGCTCTTCCCCCTCCCCCCTCTTGCAGCTTCTCCGCGATCATCTCCTGCTGTTGTTGCAAGTTCAGTGACTGTTCAGGGTGTCTGTCTATCTGTCTGTCTGTCTGCAATCTGCTTGGACTTACTCCGACTCCAAGCAGACACTATGTTGCAGCAGATCACAATCAGTTAACGCTCCATCCATTGATCATCAGAGGAGAAGCGACTGGTGGGCTGGTGGGTAGAGTAGAGGGAGACCACTGTTTAAAGGCCACTCCCCTCGTTCTGCTTAGCATCTGTTTTGCATTGACCAACACTGTCAAAGCCAGTGGTCAGAGCCAGTGGGGTCTTCTTTGAGCCATGTTCCACCACTAACTAAATGGACAATTTCCGCCTGCGACCAGTCATAAAATCAACAATCATTATCTATTTATAGATGGGCCACAGAGAGCTGTCTTAGGGGGGGACACACCGGACCTTATCACTGGAGAGTCTCCGTCTTTCAATCGACTGGAACTTGACATAGTTAACACAATCAGTCATTTGCTGAGAGCCGATTAGTGGCAAAAACATAGTGGGAAATAAATATACTCCAAGTGTATTTGTCTTTAACAAATCAACAATCAATGGCCTTTGTCTGTGGCTCTGAAAAAGGGGTTTTTGGTGCGATAGAGATAGCTGAAAATACAAAAAGTTGGTGGATTCCCGCCCCCTAATGTGCATTTTAGTGGACCAAACGAAATATATAGCACAGAAATAATAATATTCTTTTAATTTGTCCCAATTTCTGAAGAAAGCCTTGATCGGCACTCAAAAGAGGATCCGTTTTTAGCGAATATGATGGCCATCGGATCATTAATCTGGTCAGGTTCTCGCTTACAGCGTTGCTTAGCAGTTAATGGTTAGTTTTCGGCCTTAACTCAAAGAGAACTCTTTACTCATACTCGCCTGTCTATAACCCCACTGTAGTTGCTCTCGAACAGTGAGGTTCATAATTGTTTAATTATTCAGTAATAAATTCCAAGAAAATAATCTTAAAAGCACATTCTAGGCTGCATCCTAGAACTTTACTGAATACTTGATTCTACTTCGATTTCATATCATATCATATAGTTAGTAGTATTAACCTTCCTCCTTTTCTCTCTGTGTCTCTCTGTGGCCATACACAGTTACGTAAATAGCCATAAAATATATCTATGTCTATGTACTAGTGCTGATCCTACAACGATTCCACATTAGCAGTCAGTCGCATGATAATGAAGCCATTAGAGGAGCCCCAAAATCTTATCGCCAATGCGACTCTAAAACTGCAATTGTAGAGCTGTAAACCTAATGGAATAGAATGCAATGAAGGGAAAGCTCCGGGGTTGAGACGAGGGAAAAGCTTTTCCATCTGCATGCACTTGACATTTGGTGTTCTTCCAGAGGTATTTTTGGTTCTTCGGGGGTCGTCGTCGTCTTTCCGTTGCTTCGTCGCTCGATGGGCTTGAATTGTCATAAATTTGTTTTCACTTAATGGCTTTTGGCTTGGCGTTTTCTTCTTCTTTTTTCTGTTATTCTTTTTAGTTTTTAGCTCTCCAAATGTCTCTGTTTCTGTCTGTTGCTGCTGCTGCTGCCTCTCGTCTCTGTTTATTCAAACACAACAATTTGTAATTTTGTCACGAAGTTTTTCCTACGTCTGGTTGTAATTGTTTGCATTTTGTATTGTAAAGCGTTTTCTAATTTGTATGCCTCTTTGGGCTTGTGATTCTTCCTTCAGTTCTTTGATTAACTTTTCATATAGACAAATATACCGAGGGGATTAGGGGGTAGAACGTACACCGTATGCCGTAGAGGTATTCTATGACCATTCTTCAGGTGAAAATTTCAACACTTTATGGATTTTTGATCAACAAAGAAAGTCCCAGCGCCAGACGTCTGACCATATTGCCCTGCCCCATGGGTTGGTTCTCCTTCTGCCTCTCCCTCTCCCCGTACGTGTGGCAATAATAAAGAATCTTAACTGGGTTATTTGTTGGGTTATAGAAAGTTTGTTCATCGATGGGATTGGGTCAAATAATAATGGGATTGATCAAGAGAGAGAGAGGGAAAGTAAGTGCTGCAACTCTTGCATGGAATGGTTATGGAAATGAAGAGGGCTTAAACTTTAAAGTGAGTTAAAGTGTCTTTAGTTATTGCTGCTAATCGAAATTGTTCGCACATTATATCGCCCACTTTGCCCACTGTATCGACACATTGTTACTCGGCAGCAGCCTCTGCTTCGCCAATCTTTCGTCTCTTCATCTCCCTCTCGTTCGCGTTCGGCTCTAGGCTGCTCTCGCGCACCACCTCTGTCGCTCTCTCGCTCTCATTCTAAGCTTGGGGCAGGGCCATTCGGGTCAGCTGCCATTGCAATTGCAATTTTGATCGAACTCTTGAACGTCTCTTCAACTGACATCGTCTTCCGCTGACTCCCACAGTCTGCCTACAATGTTATTATATTCGTGCCAACCAATTTTCGCAGCAGAAAACTTTTCAAATGTACATACATAGATCTAAATAGTATTCTCCCCATTCTCAAAAAAAACATCGCTGGTGTTCTCCTCTCCCATTGGATTTGTGGTGCGGCTCGTTGGGTTTTTATGATCAATTAGCCAAATGATCTGATCGCAGAGCCAGAGCCAGCGTTTGATCTTCAAATGTGAATATTATGTGGCCAACAGATCCAACAGATGGATCTTCGAATGGATCTTCTTTGGTGCTGGATGTAGGGGGAGAATGAAGAGGGGGCACGGAGATCCTTGATCACTTTGCGTGCGTTAGAAATTCTCTGCGTTCTGTGTGTTCTTTGAGTTTTAATTGCATATTTATTAGCGACTGGCAATTGAAACAAATTGCAGAAATACACGAATCTCTCGAATTTGGGATGGCTTCCAGATACATCTTTGCCTTTGGCGCCATGCAGGCAATAAAAATGTTTATTTTAGCACACACCGCAAAAATTACGAGACCGACGACCAAGTTTTTTGTTCATCTTAATTGAAAAGTGGCCTCAAAGAGGGGAGGATGGGATGGGATGCGGTCCCCCCAATAAAGAGGTACAAATACAGATACTGAAACCGCGCAAAGAGCACAACAATTCTTTGTTGTGAGATTTGTCAAGAATTTGGGTTTTATTTCGCCTTAGCCCCTTTGGCTATTTGATGGATAGTTCTTTCAATTTGCGATCCTCATCAATTTTAATTGTTTGCGAGACCACTCTGTCGAATCATTATTGATTCTCGTCTCTATAGATTCCCTCGCTATCTTTTTTTGTCGACACTGTAGACGACTCTACTCTGCTGCCTGCATAATTTTCTATAATTTGTTTGTCGTTTGCAAAGCAAAGCTGTCAAATCAACAGAAAAGATGGCAAAAATAGCAAATGGCAACCAGAAACAGCCTGGCCTGGCTGATCTTTAGGAATTTTTAGTTCTTGGCGCTCTGAGCAAAAAATTAAAATATCGCCTGCATAGAAGAGCACTTGGCAGAGGAGGGTGTGTAGGATAGGGTGCTGCTGGGTGTTGTGGTGTTGTAGCGGTGCGAGGGGAGAAAGGAGACGGTTACGCATTCTTGGCTCTACAAATTATGCAGTTTGCCATAAATTTTACCAAAATATATAGAAAAATCAAGAAATATCTTTATTTAATGGGTAAATGTTGCTTATATGTAATAGAAAATGGGGTGACACTGGCAATAGGTGAGAAGTTGTGGGTGAGAGGTGAGGTGAGGGGGCAGAACTAGAGGTAAATTCGTTTCATTCATTTAATTCTTATGTGTGCCAAAGATTACTTTATCTTCAAACATGATAAAAGTTTATTAACTTTCATAGAAATCGATTCCCTCAAAATGTGAACTCACTTTTTAAAAGGTTTTTTCTTTGTAGATGACTCCCCCGTTAATAAAGATCAAAACTCAACAATAAAATCTCAAAAATTGCATATGAAAGCCCCTCTGCATTGGCATTATATTCCTGTTTCTTTAGATATCACAGTTTATGGGCTTGAACTCTTTTATCTAATAAATTTCTCGTTAATCTTATCTTTCTTGCAGGCTTAAATGTAGCCATAAAAACATTCGACGAAACGAAGCCTAACTGCTTTTTATGGTGAGTCCACGCCCCCTTCTCCCTGCTCTTAAGTGCATTTTGGTATCATTTGCCAAATTTGTTCATAAACTTATACTTCATACATATATATATAAACCAATATTATTAACGAGTCGGTTGGGAATTTCAAGTATGTCTTACGAGTGTGCCCCACCCTTGAATCGTGAGTTTGCAGTGGATGGAGTTATCCATTATTAATCGGCCATCGGCATTGCTTTCCGATAATTTATGGTTAAAGAAAGCGGCGAGTACTGTACCGTACCTCCTGATTCGCAATTTATGGCTGTATGTAACGCATATTAATAGAGTATTTTGGAGTCAAACTGATTATGCTTGCCAATGCTGGAGATACAGTTTAACGAACCAATTACAACAAGGGGAAAATGGAGACTCACCAGGTAAATAGATAGAGAAAAAAAAAACGTAAACTTCTACATTCCGGCTCTAAACAAATGGCTGTAAATTTACATAGTAGAATGAATCGAATTCTATGCGGTGGATTGTGACACTCATCAATCTTCTTACTACGAAGTCGCATCCATTTGGTTGGGTGGCTAAAGGATTATCCTTGAAGCTACAGACCCTCTACAAATTGGGAGGGAGCTTACAACATCATTAAACAAATTGACAACCAAAAACAAAAATTAAATAATGTAACAAAATTATTTAGACGAACCAACTTAGCTTAGGTGAAGTGAAAACCCGCTAAATCCGACATTTGTGTAGCAAATACATATACCGAATAATAGATCACAGAACTGACAGAAAACTTTGAGTTCCCCAATAATTACCCACTAAAAAGACATGAAAATGACCCGATTGCAGTCCCTGAACACCAGCCAAGCTCTTGTAGACCCTCGTAAAACACACACACACACACAAGATACATACATACATACATACATATATATGTATGTACGTATATTAACCACCTGCTATAAATCAGATGATCCGACTTTTATGCGCTCCAGTTGTAATCCAAATATAAAGTTTTCTATTTTCGAGGCACTGCCTGCAGTGGCAGGCGCCGGTTCAAAGTGCGTGAACAGTGACTGTGCCCCCCGATAATTTATGGCAAATGGAATCGAAATATTTTATAGAGCATACAATTTAAATTAGTGAAATGTGGTGGAAAAAAAGGAATGCAAAAATATATGTCTAAATATTTGGCCCAAACAATAAAATACGTGGGGAAAAAGCTTTTATTTCGTTTATTTCGATGCTTTTTAATGTTTGCCAGACAATGCGTAAGCGAAAACAAAGTCCACGAAAATGGAGCAGAACAGAAGGAGAAAGAAGAACGAACGGAGGAGACTGAAGAGATTGGAGAGAGTGAAAGAAATGCAATGAAAATTGAGTTATAAAAGAAGAAGACGACGGCGACGACGACGACAGAAGAAAACAGCGCTAAAAATGCTGCGCCCCACAAAAATAGAGCAAGGCATGTGGATAGAAATGAAAGAAATTAGATGAAAATAGGTTCTATATAATTATATATATGTACATATATACATATGTACATATATTTTTATATGCGTGTATACGTATATCCATTCTATATATACCCAAGATATTTGTAGAGAGAGAGATAGAGCTCCCTGTCTTGGGAGCCAGACGACAGGAATTCTTCTCGAAACGAAGCTAAAAATTGGGAAATGCTCGCATTTTATTTTCTTGTTTTATTTTCCTCCTTTTGGGGCGCTAAGACATTTTGGGACAACTGAATTTATGGCGCCTCTCTTTCACTTTCCTAGACTCCTTCTTTTCTGCTGCTCCGGGGAGTTGGAATTCGCCAGATCAGATCTGAAACGAGGCATAGCGAAACCCGAAGGAATTTCTAGCTGAACCCCAAGTATAAGTATTTCTGATCATAATCCATGGTCTCGTACCCAGCGGTTGGGGAGGGGGTTCTTTAAAGATTGTCTAGATCTCATTTGAGTTTTCTTCGTTTTTATGGCCCTTAGCTGGCGATGCTTGTCTTTTGTCAAATCGTAAAACGCTCAGCAGGTCAATAATTTCTTCTGGCTTGTCGTTACCCCCTGTCCGTCTCATAATGAAACCCTTTACATGGACTTTCTATAGATTTACGAGTTGAGCATTTAAATATGTCCACAAATGACATATTCACGGCTTTACTTTTAGATTATGATATGATATGCATGATAATACTCGTAATTCGTTTTTCGTTTTTCGGTGGAGGGGATGCCGCGGCGACACGTGTTTTGAAAGTCAACTTCAACGTCAAAATGTGAAGAAAACATTTGATGGACACATGGGACAGGTTGAAGAGCCGCCGAAGAGACAATCATAATTTTATAAACTTTTTGAATAGACGCTCATCAGCAGAGCGATTTCTTGATTCTTTTGATTCTCTTTTATTCTCTCCGTTTTTGTCAATGTTTAGCATTTTGTTTTGAGGCCTGAAGCTTTATTATTATGCGAACACCCCACAAGAGAAACCAATTTCCAAAGCAAACGAGGCACAGACTGTGCTGTCGTACAAAATGTAAACTTTTTCTTGGAATTAGTAGGCCCTTTTACTTGGTGGTTTGGCGGGTTCTTGTCATTTGGGCACAGGAAATACAGAAAGAAAGGTAACATGTTAATTGACCAAGTTCCAAGTAGGTTCCAAGCAGCAGAATGTCTGCTGAATGTTGACCACTGTTAAAGTAAGAAATAATGAAAGAATCGACGGAACTGTTTATGAAATACTCGTTATGTGGAAAATTTGTGTGGGAAGCCGAACAATTCTGACCAAATGTAGTTTGAATACTCGTACGAAATTATTTCAAGTGCAGAGTCTCACTGCGGATAGAGCTAGTGGTAGAGAGGTGGTGCATTCTCTTTAAGTATTGCTAAGCTATTATGGGAGAGAAAGACAGACAGACAAAGTCTTTAGAAAACCGAAAAACCATCTAATACAGGTATTATAGAAAGGAAAGAGACTTTTCATAATTGACCAACTGCCGAAATGTAGGCATAATAAATCTGTCAAATGTCAAAGGTCATTCCTTAGCTGATTCTGTTTGTAGCACATGCTCCTGTTCATTTCCCATTTACCCTACAATTGTTTATATTGTGATACGAATTTATGCCTGCCTACGCAAGAAAATTCCTAATTAAAATATAAAAAATTCATGCCCACGAAATGAGGTACGATATAATATTTCACGGTCAAAAGTCGTAGTCGTCTCCAAAGGAATAGTAGAAGTAGAGAAAGAGGAGGAGGAGGAGATTATGCGATAACAGAGGGTAGGCACCTACAGGGATATGATGATGGAATATGCTTAGAAGAAGGAGCAGAGGAGAGGAGCTACGTTCAGCGATGATGATGATGACGACCACAAAACGCGCTGATGATGACTCTGCTACTCTTGCCTCCTCTTCAGGTGGCACTTTACACTCCACTCCACAACTCGCGGGACAAAACAGTAGCGAAAAATTGTTCAACTTCATTTGTTGCTGTTGTTGCTCTTGTTGCTGTGTTGCCCCCAAGACCTGGCATTATTTCTTTTTTTTTATGATTATTTTTTCTTCTACTTTGTATATTGTAAACATTTGAACGTTTCCCAACTCCGATTCCCACGCATATTTCTCCTCTCCCTCTCTAACTCCCCCTGCATGTCCCCCTCGTTATAGTAAAAATAATATAAAATAATTTTGTTGTGGTTGCGGCCCACTCTCTGGGGCTGCTGCCGGAGTTTCGGCTGATGCTAGAAGATTATATAATCAGCCTTTCTTCGGAGAGCGTTCAAATGCGTTTTCCTGTATATAAACTTTGAGTTGGGATCCCTGGGATCCATGCGGTGGGCAAGTGTTGAGTGTTGTGTTGATGAGCCCGATAAGAAAAAGAGTTCTTATACCTACCTACCTATCTGCCTTTTCAGCCCTGTCCGTATAGTACATGTATGTATGTAGTTTTGCGGTACGAGAGCATATAAACGTTTTGACAGTTACCGAGAGTATCTTTCTGGCATTTAAATAAAGGCTTAAAGGCGGATTCGGGTCATGTTAAACCGCAAAGGCGCTTATTATATTCTTCTGTTTTTTTTTTGGCCAAATGAAATTTATATGCAAGTGGACCAGACAGACGCAAGGTTTTGGGGTTCCTCTGGTCTTCTCACTCTCGGATGCAGATTTCATTGTTTTCTTTGACTTTGGCTTTATGCGGTTAAGGAAACATTTATCTTGGCAGATGCTCAAAGTGCATAAAACTCCAAGTGAATCTCTGCTTTCGACTGAGCTCTGTGTGGTGTTCTTTGCAACTTGGATGCAACTCAATAAATTATGAGAAATTTGATGTATGTATGTATGGTTCAGATGCACATCGTGAACAATTTAAAATGATAATCTAAGAAATTTCAACGCGTCCACAGTTGTAGGTTGAGTAATCTGATTTTGCTATTATTTGTGGATAGAAAATAACATTAATTGAAGATGGGAAAGACTAACAAGGCTGTTCACCAATGATAAATATCACTGAGTATTTGATTCATTTGAATTTCTTAATCCAGTATCCAGTGTGTGCACATTGAAAACCCTTATACTCTGCAGAGTTGTACAGGCATCAAAGAAAACCCATAGAAAAAGCCACAAAAATCAAAAACTAAAGAAAATCTAGAGAAAATCTTTAGCCTAAGAATTTGGCAATGGGCGGGTTGGGTTGGTGGTTTGTTCTCTGAAAAGAATTCGAATTGTATGAATGAGTGGAACTGAATAATCGGCATGAATGCGCATACGGGAGAGACGCAACGTGTCGGATACAGTAAAAATACCATGAAGCCGAGAGGAGAGACAGAAGAAGTTAAGATTGTCATGTTAATTTTGAAATGCTGCCTTTTGCTTTTGCTGCCTCTCTTTTTGCATTAATTGTTGTTGGCTCTGTGACTCGTGGGGGAATTTTATCTTTTGTTTGGGCTTTTTGATGCTTTCTGCCGCATTTTTTATTTTGTTTTTTTGGCTCGTTGGCATTTCAATTAAATTATAAAAATAACAATTTG